CGACAAACTGTCTGTGATTCATTGCCCGCACCCTGATGAAGTTTATTATTTTAGTAACAACATCAGTAACATGGTTGATTTTTAGCACTGACTTGCACAACACATGTTGGTGTATAATTCAATGCAAAAACACCCATTTTTGATCTGCATCGATTTCTGTCACTTTTATCTTGCATGTGTTTCAAAAGTCCGACATTTTTCCCTGTAAGATTTGGACAACCGTCTGTTGTGACACCTGACAGTCTCTCCCATTTCAATCCCAGAGTGTCCGTGCACGCATTTACCTCTGTAGAAAGATCACTCCCTGTCGTTGTCCCTTTCATCGACCGCATTGCTGCCCGCTCCTCTGTGAGCTCCGTTATCCCCCGGACATCACAGCTCTCGTCTAAGGCCAATGAGGAAAAAGTCCAAACTTGCCACTTCACGTTGCAGCTGAAGCTCCAGGTTCCCCACGGTTCCCCTGGACAGCGGGATTTGCTCTAATGCGCCTTTTTTTCAGGGCATATTAGTGCTGCGGAGTCCACCATGCACTCTTTGACAAACTCTCCCTCCGAAAACGGCTTGCTGTTTTTAGCTATTGTGTGGGATATCACAAAGCTGGTCCTGGTTGCTGCATCCCTGGATGTGCGAAGCTTAGTAAAACAGCTTTGCTGCTTTTGCAACTTTGCTAGCAAAGCTTCGGATATCCATGCCCTCTCAGCATCAGATGAGTTATTGTATTTTTCCGAGTGTTACTTGTCGTAATGCCGACTCAAATTGTAGTCCTTAAACACGGCAATCTCCTCCCCGCAAACCAAACACACGGCTTTGCCTCCGACTTCAGAAAAAAATACTTAGCAGTCCAATTTTTGTTGAAAATCCTGCATTCAGCATCTTTTTTTTTTTTTTTTTTTTTTTTTTTTTTTTGCATGAGCGGACATTTCTGGGGCTACAATCACCATGTCAACCGCGGGCACTTGTTGCTGTACGTATTGCGTCATTGTGCACGTAAAAAACAACTTCAAAATAAAAGCAATGCAGCCTTAGCCCATGCATGAGGTAAAATGAGAAAATACATTTATTTTGTAATTTCCAATTAACCTTATGCGGGCCGGTCAAAGTCAACCAAAGGGCCGCATGTGGCCCGCGGGCCGTAAAATGCCCAGGTCTGCTCTAATGGCTACTTCCAGCGGGATAATGCACCATGTCATAAAGCTCCAATCATTTCAAACTGGTTTCTTGAACATGACAATGAGTTCACTGTACTACAACGGCCCCCAGAGTCACCAGATCTCAACCCGATAGAGCATCTTTGGGATGTGGTGGAACGGGAGCTTCGTGCCCTGGATGTGCATCCCACACATCTCCATCAACAGCAAGATGCTGTCCTGTCAATATGGGCCAACATTTCTAAAGAAGGCTTTCAGCACCTTGTTGAATCAATGCTACGTCGAATTAAAGCAGTTCTGAAGCAGGGTGTCCGCGGGGTTTTAAAAAGTATTAAAAAGTGATAAATAAAAATAGTCAAATTTAAGGCCATTAAAAGCGTTAAATTTGGTCTCAGAGGTATTATTTTTTCCAAATTAGGTATTATTTTTTTCAGACTATCAGGTGTCGTATTATGAACATCAACATAGAAATATATTCCGAATGAAATGTTTTGAACGATTATAAAAACAAAACAAGCCGATTATTTGCTCCTCCCGCTTGCGCTGCCCTGAGTTGCAAATGAAGCGCTCCTCCCACAGTGTTGCCAACTTAGCGACTTTGACGCTATTTCCAACAGCTTTTCAGACCCCCTTCTTGACTTTTTAAATCTTAAAAGTACCTAGCGAACACCTCAGAAACATCTCTGGTAACCCTTAGCTACTTTCTGGATAACTGTAGTTGACATTTCCTGCAGGTTAGCTAAACACTCCGTCTGCGCTCCCGACCGTTCTTCTGGACATTAGGAAAGGGAATGATGCAGTGATGTGTCGGTCGCTAAAGAAACGGCTCTCAGAGCCGGCTCTCTGTTGGATTAACCAGAGTGAATGACACACACACCGTACCTGCGGGCTCCTGAGCCGCTAAAAACGGCTAAATGTGCGCGTGCTGCGTGCTAAACACACGTGCAGCTTGCCCGTGATTGCTGTGAGACCGGGTTGGGGGGTGGGGGTGCAGCTGTGGTTGAGACAATTATTACATTAACTGATGGACTTGTAAATAAATAGTTTATAAATAAGGTAGAAATAAGTTCCTCACGCTGATAACTAATCTCTCTGAGGACACGGTGCTAGTGTACTCTCCTACTGCACCTTGACACGACTAAATAAATGTTATGCAACATTTTGTGAACATCAATTTATTTGCATTTATTTGTTATAAATGCCACTGTATAATTCTTGTTGTCAGTATTTGCAAGATATTGGTATTTGGGTCTGTACTGGTTAGACTTAAATGAGTTAAACCAAGGTCTATAGCCCTTGGGTCATAAACTATGAGCTATAAGTATATTGGTCTTTTTATACTGGGAATCAGGAGTTATTTTAGTGATCATCTTGTTTCTTGTTTATTTTTGCCCTGATTGTGCCCTGAGTAGGGCTGGGGGTAAACAAGTATTTTTAAAATGATTATTCTGACGATTATTTTATCGAATAGTCGACTATTCTAATGACTATTTAGATGATTAATCTAGCGAATATTTTTCTATTGCACAATTAATAAAAACCAAAAAATCTCAAATAAATTCTTCCCAAAAATGGATAAATTGTTACTGTAAGAGAATAAATACTACAGGCCTTCCATTTTGTATAACACTGCTTTTATTGTGTTGTGGTTGGTTTTGTTCTGGTGACGTGTAGAACTTGGGAGTGCAGGCTGCTGCCTGAGAGGTGGTTGGAGACGGAGTGTCTCCATGCTGCTTTGATTTGGTCACTTATGTGCATGAGGCAAGTGGTGTTACGATCCTTCCTGGGGAGTTTGGCTTGTGTGCAAAAAGGAAGGGACAATAACGGGATTTAAAAGTTAAAATGATGATCAGGTTTATTTACAACTACAAAAAAAACATAAATATTTCCATCCACAGGTTGGGAATAATAAAACTAATTCTGTCTGTGGGGAATTAAAACAAAAGTACAAATAACCTGGGATGTCCCACTGGGCAACGATTACAGGGTTCTGGACCAAAATAAGGATCTCCAAAGGTCCAAACTCTAAACCAAACTCGAGGTGATATTTTACACTAAACCGAAAACCCACAACACTCTAAATGTAATAAAAGGGAGATCTGCACCACAAAAAAGATGAACTCTAAACCAAAACGTAACCGCTTATCCAAACGCAAGAAGCTGTTAGCGAAAATGCTAACAGTAGCTTTACCAACGTTAAATTCAAGTTACCAAGTTTAAATAAACCAAAAATACCCAGCAGCAAACAGACCAGCATGGAGGAGAGACTGCTACCACCAAAACAGCTCTCCTAATGTCTGAAAGAAGCTCCTTTATGAAGGGAGAAACGCTCCCGGTGATGTTCTACATCTGCGGTAGAGACAAAGCAGCACATCTGACCCCGGAAGTTGTTGTCCGTTGCCGGGAGACGAAGGCGGGCAAAACAGGAAAATAATCTAGTAGTGGACGGACATCGTTCCGGGTCTTCGGTATTTGGCGGAGATGTTAGTGAAGGCGGAGAAGAGGGCGAACTAGAGGAAAAACAGGCAGATTCCTCCTCCATTTACAAACTCCTGGGGATGCAACAAGTGGGCGCGGTGCGCTGACTAACGGATCTGACGTCGACAAATTTTTAGAATCGAGCCGTCGACGTCATCGATGCGTCGCCACAGCTCTAGCCCTGAGCAATTTTATGACTGAATAAAAAAATAAAATAAAATATCTACATTAATTGAAAAATCATCTTAAATAATCGAGATCTCAATTTCAGTCACAATAATCGTGATTATTGTTTTTACCTTAATCGAGCAGCCCTACTTTAGCATATCCGTCACATAATGATGACGTCATATTCAGTGGTCGTTCTGCATCATTTCAGGCCTCGTGGTCAACTGTCTGAACCGCTGAACAGAAGTGCCTGGCTTATTTTCTAAGTAAAATAAATATGTGCAATACGTTGTCAACATCAGTGAGTCTCTTAAGTCTATTCTTTTTGTATGTTATATATGTTAAAATATGTGTAAATAGGTCGCTGATTAACACTTGCAATTTAGTGTTGTGATGGTTTTAAAAATATTCTGAAGGTAGTAAAAAAAGGTATTAAAAAGTAGTACATTTTATTTAGGGATTGCTGTATATACCCTGTGAAGGTGAAAGGGGGTCAAACACCGTATTAGTATGGTGTTCCTAATAATCCTTTAGGTGAGTATAGCATTGACAGTCTGGAAACCTAAAAGAACAGCTAAAGACCCTTTTATTTAAAGCTGCTTTTACCTAAATCTTTAGTTTTCTTATTTTTTAACTTAAATTTATAATCATCTTTCATTAGGTTTATGATATTTATGATCATTTTATAATTTCATGACTTGGTTTTCTGATTTAATTTATTTCTATTTTAAGATCGTTGTGATTTTATGACTCTATGATTTGTTTTGTTTTTAATCTATGTGAAGCACTTTGTGATTCCCTTTTTGTGATAAATGCTGTATAAATAAAATTAAATTTCTTTATTTTCGGTTGTGATACGTGATATGCTGAGCATTATCCATATATGTTCCTAAACAGCTACCGTATTTGAAGACTGTGCATGATTATGGAGGGTAGACCACAGTTTATGTATAAATAAATGTAAAATTTCGAGCTAATAGAAATACTTACTGTAGATGCTGGGGCGTCACATGACCTGGCCATGAATGAAACGTCTCCCAAAAATTGTGGTTAGCATAATTTCTGTGTGATTCGAGTTGAGAATGAACATACTTCCTTACATGTTTTTGCCTCTAACAGGTGATATTGGCACAACTATGAAATGATTGAAAACTGTTGAGCCTGTGATCTTTCATTTAACAGTGCTGCTCTGTCTTCTCTTTAAAGACAATAAAGTTGAAAGCCGAGGCTCGCCTGGATCTCCTTCGCCAAGTGGGTGTGGCTGTGGATACCTGGCTGAAGAGTGCCACGAACCAGGTCTGTGCTGTGTGTTAGAGGGGTGTGTGTGTGTTGTTTGTACACGTATAAAACCCACACTTTCTCTCTGCATGCTGTAGGTGATGGAGGAGCTGGAGAATGAGCGTTGGGCCAGTTACACTTCCCACGATCCCTCACTGTCGGTGAGACACACCCCCTCACCACTTTTGTTTTTGCCAAGCCAGCACCTGTCACCACTAAAACAGGAAGTTTATTTCTGATATGTGTAAACACTGGAGGAATTCGCAGATGAGGAGTAAATCATTCACAGTAGAGTTGCATCATCACACTCCCTTTATGCAGAAAACAGTCCATTTTAGAAAACATCACTCTTTTTTTTTCAAAGCTGCTATAGCAAATTTACCGATCAGGCTAGGTTTTGAATGCTCACCCCTTCCCTTGGGTATCTTCCCTGTATTCACATGCAACAGAACTGGAAACCCAAATTGCCAGAGGGTACGAGACATCTCTAAACACCAGTCGTTGTTTTCTAGGTTCAAAAGTCTTTTGTTTTCCGTGACTTCAAATGGTGTTTTTCTTTTTGGGAATCTGGTAGTTTGTCCTAAAGTTGAAGTGGTGGCAGCCGGCTGTTTCTCCTTCTCTGATATCACCGAGCCGCGATCCTCTCACATCAGTGGTGTTCTGTTGCTAAATACATGATTGTGTAATGAATAGAGGACTCGGGGAAGTGCAGCGGTTTGGTGAGACCGACAACCGGAAGGACCAATAGTTGCTTTCGGTTCGGAACTTGACATTGGTGGAGGTTTTCAGACAAATGTGAGAGGAACACTTTATCTTGACAATATATTTAAGCTATATTGTCTTAGAATTTTATTAAGAAGCAAGAATTGAGAGTAGTAATAAAAACAGATTAGAATTAATTTTAACCAACATGCTGTATTTCTGTATGAATTTGAGAACACTTTTTTTCTGATTAGATTGGGCAGAAACGTTAAAGTGCTGCACTTCTTCACTTAACCAAAAATTGTTGTTGTCTGAGCTGCACTAATGGTGGCCTCTTTTTTTAATCACTGCAGTTGAGAACTAACAGCTCACTGAATGGTGAACGTGTGTGTGAATCACAAGCGCGGCATGAAACTGGCTTCACACTTAATTATTTCTGTTTAGGAATGGAGTAAGCTTCGAAAACTGATGGCTCATAATTGCCAACTTTTCTATGTATAATCTATAGGTTTCAATTATGCACGAACACCCCCAAGCATTATAGCTCCCCACTCAAAAAATCACTTTATGAACAATATGTAGATAGCTGGTGGAAACACCGCAGCGTAATCATCTCACACACCCTCTGCAGCCTCTTAAACTTCTCACTTCTGACGTAGATTAAAGCTTTGTTAGCATGACGAGCTGCGAGCTAAACCATTTACATGCATGTAATATTAAAACAAGTCAAGCTGTGTAGGAAGATTTTAGGTGGTACTTAATACTAGTACTTATTAGTGCCAATTAGGTTTTTCAATATTCAACTAAAGTGCTTTTTAAAGTGTTTTCCCCTCAGCTTTTTTTATCACACCCAAATTTTTCAGATTTGCAAAGACAACCTGAGTAAATACAAAACACAGTTTTCAAATTATTTCATTTAAGTGGCTCTTTGTGAAAAGATGATTGCTCCTAAAACCAAAAAGCTGGTTCTAAACGGCATGTGTGATGAATAGTGATGAGTCTCTCACAGCGCCGTGGAGGGATTTCGGTCTGCTATTATTTGCAGAATTAATTAAATGTTACCATAATCTGAGGATATTCCAGCATCTTCTACAATTAAATATAAGTAAAGATCATCAAGATAATTATTTCTGGGTACTGGCCTGTGAGTTCCTTTTGGCGCGGTCTCTTCTCGTTTAATTGTGATCTTATCCTTCGTTTCTGGATTTTCTTTAGAAGAGGACATGAGGTGTTGCTTTTTGAGATTGTTTAGCCTACCTGTTGTTCTCATACAAGTTGCAATGAAAATGTAAGTTTACAGGTCAGGCAGTCATCAGCTCTGGGTTCGACTGGTAAAACTTAACTCAGGTATGAAATAATGTGATCAATCACATTAAATTTGTGTTTTAACAAGGCAGACGATTACTGTTTTCACACAAGGCCAGGGTGGTTTGGAGAGCATTTTAACCTTATTAAATTAAACCATCATTTAAAAGATGCATTTTGGTATTACTTTTATGTTGATCAGGTTATCTGAAACATTTAAATGCAACAAAATATCAAAACAAGGAATCTTTAAAGAGGCGACTACTTTTTGACATCACTGTACAAACCTATAGTAATAAACCTGGTAGATTAAAATCTTTTTTTTTTTTTGGAACGTTACATTTTATGACTCAAATAAATATATATTTTTATGCACAGCCTACAGTAAAGGCATATTTCTTTGTTTATGCATTTGCATCTGTGTTGTGTCCTCAACAGTAACTGTACATTGATGCAAATGTATTTATTTTCCACCACTAGGCGAATAAATCCCCCACAGGATTATGTGGAGGAACGTATGTGTCTGTCAGTCAAGGAGACTAAACATAGTCAGTCTGCTGTATCCCACACATTTGGCATTCTGCTCACATGACACTGCAGCTCCAAGTTAGAAGAGGGCGAGACACTGAGTGTAAGGAGAGGAGACAAAACATGGAGAGAGAGAGAGAGAGAGAGAGAGAGAGAGAGAGAGAGAGAGAGAGAGAGAGAGAGAGAGAGAGAGAGAGAGAGAGAGAGAGAGAGAGAGAGAGAGAGAGAGAGAGAGAGCGAGAGAGAGAGAGCGAGAGAGAGAGAGAGAGAGAGAGAGAGAAGAGAGAGAGAGAGAGAGAGAGGAGAGAAGGAGAGAGAGGAGAGAGAGAGAGAGGAGAGAGAGGAGAGAGAGGAGAGAGAGAGAGAGAGAGAGAGAGAGAGAGAGAGAGAGAGAGAGAGAGAGAGAGAGAGAGAGAGAGAGAGAAATCTAGCAGAAGATAAATGGAATAGATGCTGCTGATGCTGAGTTGCGCGCTGCATGATGGAAGCAGCAGGAAGACTTACTGAAAGAGGAGAGGAAAGAAGGAGGAGGTGGTGTGACTTAAAGAAGATAGGGAGTGGTTGGGGTGAAAGTGTCATGAAAGTGGTATAACTAAAGTATAATTGGATTCCGAGGTGAGAGATCAACAGAGCACACCACACTGTTAGGCAGGGGTACTCTGTCAAATCTATTACATTTTTCAAAATACTGAACTGATAAGTCCTTTTGAATCTATTATGAATCTTAATTATGTTGGTATATTAAAAAAATCCATTGTATCAATGATTAATCAGATTACAACACCTGCAGAGGTATCTGTATCAGATCTGGACTTTATTAAAAACATGAGTGCATGATAGATTCATGCAATCTCAATAAACTGATTCCATAAGAGACTGGAACCTGCAAAGAGAAAGACATTATACTTATATTAATCAGTATTATTATACACAAAGTGCATGAAAGGGACTCTAAACAGCAGTCTGCTGATCAGGAAGAGGCCATGTTGTGACCTTGCTAGCAGCGAGTCCCTGTTCATTGAGAGGGTGCTCGCTGCAGAACCACAAAGGCGGAGCTGCACCATAAGGTGGAGCTGCACCAGGGTCAGCCCCGCCCATTCACGCAAACTCAGCCTAGCCCACTGACTTCCGTTTTTGTTTTCCAACTTCATCGCAAACTAACCTGACCCACATGAATTATGGCTGTTACTACTTTACAAATGTTAATGCTCCAATTAAACAAGATAAATATAACTTGCTACATGACAAAGCCTGAATACATCTTGAAATGAAACGATTTCTTTTAGCAGATATCTGCCCACAGCCGCTCTAACAATAATGTGGGGCAACAGCATGAGTGACTGTCATATGTGCTCTGGTAGTCCAGTGGTAAGATCATCTGAAGCAAATTTTGCTTCCCCCTCAGCTGATGCTGGTTCGATTCTCGGTGAGGTCGGCATCAATCTATTTAGCCAGCTGAAACATTGAATTTGTTTATATTTTAGTTGTAATGTTTATTTTCAGCAAAATATTTATGTCTCTAAAAGTTCTTTGAATTTGGTCGTTCCTAAACAGCATTTTAGTTGAAACTCTGCTCACAAATGGACTCACACTGGCTAAATAAACGAATAAATAAATAAACACATTAGTCATTGTATTGTAAACGGTATACCAGTAAATTGTTGTAAACATAGTACTGGCAAGTGTAGCTAGAAATTAAGAAAAGGGGTTGTAATCTACCTAAGATTTCTGCCACTGGGAGTCGAACCTGCGCAAAACTATATGCCAACCTGCCTCCATAGCCCCTACCCCACCACATCTGATATGAAGTAAGTGGTGTTACATGTAATTGTCCTATCCAGTGTGTCTCTGAGATGGGATGTATGGTTTATTGGCGGTGTCTCAGTAGAAGTCATTTCAGAAATAATTTGTCAGAAAATTCACAGAATATCCAGATTTGAGAACCAAGACCAGACCCACTTCAGGGGAGGAGACCAAATTGAAGCTGAGATGGGAGGAAAATGCATGAATGAGGCCAAAAATGGCTTTGGCGTGTTTCTTATGAGGAAATGACAATATAACATGATTAAAAAGTTCCAAAAGTTAGATTTTTAATTATATAGAACCTTTACAAAAACTGTTCAGTTAACTTCTCACCTCCGTCCTCAATCTTGTATTTTTTAGCTATAAAACCCTCTTTGGTTCCAGAATGCTATCAAGTCTGACAACTGGAAGGAATTGTACTGACTCTGATGGAATGGACGGGGCTGACTCTGGAATGGGTGGGGCTGACCCTGGTGCAGCTCCACCTTCTGGTGCAGCTCCACCTTTGTGGTTCTGCAGCGAGCACCACTTGTGTTCATTAGAAGAGCATGCTTTGCCTCAGTCTTTTACCCACTTTCTTTATTTTAATTTTAAACACTGGCAGCCACAAACCCACAAGATTCACTATTATTTCCTCCAAACCCATAACACCTGCTGCTGCTCTTCAGCTCAGCTGTGCTGTTGCAGCCAGATGCATGTTTGGTGATTTCATGGAGTTATTACTAAAATTACTGGTCATTTTGCAGCTGGCCTGGGATTAATTCTGCCCCTCTAGCAGTGCTGTGAATTAAATACAGGTAACACAACAAACATGCTGATTCAAGAATAGTGCCATGCTGCAATTTAACTCAACAAGTTGTGCTTCATCTAATTTAGATCTCTCTGCCCTTTCGGCTATTTTCAAAGCCGTGAGTCGAATCTCTGCCAGTCTCATGTTTCAGAAGCACCAAGCTGTGATCTGTTACATCCTAAGAGAGTTCATTTGCGCTAAACCTTGCCACATTCAAGAGCCCACGACACTCACTCATTATCTCAATGTGCCAGTTTTGTGACTAATGCAATGTCAATACTACTTTAAGACTGAAACGTCCCAGCTACATCTCATATGATTTTATTTCTACGTTATTATAAAATTTACTGACGTAGCAGTCTTATTTACTTAAAATATTTTGTTTTTAAAGGAGACCTAGAATGCGGTAATCTAAAACTGATCATTGAGCCCCCATAAAGCATATAAAAATTTGTTGGAGCTTAAAATATCCCTGGAGTCCTTAGAAATGGCCAACTAAAACAGGGAAAATAAGGCTCATATCATTATAAAAAGACGAGGGAGGGAGGGAGGGAGGGAGGGAGGGAGGGAGGGAGGGAGTGAGTGAGTGAGTGAGTGAGTGAGTGAGTGAGTGAGTGAGTGAGTGAGTGAGTGAGTGAGTGAGTGAGTGAGTGAGTGAGTGAGTGAGTGAGTGAGTGAGTGAGTGAGTGAGTGAGTGAGTGAGTGAGTGAGAGAGAGAGGCTCAGAAGATATGTAATGGTAGGGGTTAGGAGTGAGCACCACCTCACCCCTGCCACGTGGACCTCATGGGATAAACCATCAATCCTGCTCAATGGTCACCTTTCCTCTCGGGGTCACCCATAAGGACAGTGGGAGGGTTAAGGTAGGGGTAGACCGATATATTGGGCAGATGTGCACTGTTTTATTTTTTTACATCAGCTGATATTTGGCCTTAGTAAGGCTGATTTAAAGTCAGGCGCATCCTCGGGCAGCCCAACGCTGTTTCAGAATTTGGTTTAAGTGTATTTTTACATTCACTAATAAATCTGCACAATCAATACTCTAAATGACTTTATTTAGATGTTTTACTTCAATTCAATTCAATAATACTTTAACACTGAGAAGTGTACAAAGGTAAGATTTAACAGTTGGTTGAATTCAGAGGTCAAAAACTGATTCAGCTTCAGAAACGTTGTGCATCAAGGTGGAAAACGTCTGGATATAGGTCATGACAATTGGTCCATAAAAATCGGCAGTACATATCGGTCATCGGATGACCATGTTTCCGATATATCGACATCAGTTTTGACAATAGACAAAACAATATCGATTGACCTTATAATGGAATAGTTTAAAGTAAATTAATCTAAATTAATCAAGTGTTAATTCATTCAAAACATGCCCTCTGATCACACCTGACTCTCAAACATTTTTTGTGAGATAAGCTCAAGTACAGATCTGCGCTGGTGTAGTTTGCTGTGTCAGCAGAAATCTGATGACTATTCTCAGTCACAAAGAATGAGCAGACACACACACACACACACAGTCTATTGTTATTCAGCAGATCAGCTCACTGTGTGTGTGTGTGTGTGTGATGGATCTTTCCATTAGCCAGATCACATGACTTTTACATAAGGATTTCACATGGAACAAACCTGGGAGGGGCTGCAGCCTGTGTAACGTTAGTGCCTCTACACCTGCTTCTAAAAGCTACAAAGGACAAACGAGACCTAGGATTACAGGTGAGGGTTCAACTGGAAGACTCATATTTAGGAATCGAGCTGGTAACCGGTGGGACTTGAATGTTGGGGGCCTTTGTAACTTGTTTTGTAGCTAGAAAAGAGCAGTGGGAGTCAATACCGGTGGTAGTCAAAAAGAAGTGTTCTTGTTTTTGATGTTTGTGTGTCATGTTTTCCTTTGCTCCACTTAATGGGCATCATCAGGAGTGAAGGGAATCTGGAGGATACATTTCCACTTGGAACGAGGGGTGAAAAGTTCCTACTGAACAAGGATGTCCAAGATGACCTTCACTGGCATACGTGTCATTAATAGTTCAATTCTACATTGACAGTCTTTTTTTTATCTGAAGCACTGGACCTCATTAAGTTATTTACCTATTAAAGTGGAGTTTTTCCTATTGAAGATTTTGACTTTATCTCTCTCTAACTCTAGCCCTTTTTACAAGACACACCATGCCGGCAAATCGGCATATTACCGCAATGGTATGTCTATAAATGTGCCATGCTGGCATGGCATTGCGCGAATTTTGCGGCATTCGTTCCGCCTTGCTTGGTAGTAGTATTGCGGTAATGGTCTGTCGTATGCGCCCTGGCGCAACAGAGGCAGATGTCATGATGACGTGTGGAGTTGTTGCTGAGCTCCGGCTGGCAAATTTATTGAAAATGAAAGTAAACACAGGCAATAAGGTTTGCTTTTTGAACAAAATCAGCTGAGATGGCAAACTGGAGCGCCGCAGCGCTCCACGAGCCTCTTTGTTGGAGCTGAAGCTCAGATCACCAGAGACTGCACAGGGAGTGATGGGGACAGACACCTTTGGGAGCTGCTTGTTAAAAAAAACTTAACGATCACTGCGGCAGCGCAGATGCTGCCCCCATACCCCCTTTATGCCGCCATCACCTAAACTTTTATAAAATTGCCATCCGATTGCGCCACATTACCACCACGGTCTGATCTTATAAAACAACCTAAGAGCCCCTGATGCCACCACGGCGTTGCGGCAAATTGACGGCATTGTTTTATAAAAAGGGCTTCTGTGTGTCAAAAGGGCACGGTGGACTTGGAGCGTGAAGAGGGTGAGGAGTGTGAAGAGAATATGGAGGTTTTTGATGACAGCAGCTCCAGTCCTTCGGGAACTCTCCGCAACTACCCGCTAACCTGCAAAGTGCTTTACTCGTACAAGGTATAAAGACGCACCTTTGAGGAAATTTGCAGACTTTTCTTCACTTGTTTTATGTTTTACTCATCTGTTCATCTCTCCTGAAGGCGTCTCAGCCAGACGAGTTAACCATAGACGAACAGGAGATGTTGGAGGTTATTGAGGATGGAGACATGGAGGACTGGGTTAAGGTGATCAAATATTCACAGACTCGTAGCGATTTGTATCCCCAGTTACATAAACTTGTTTTTCGATTTTATTTAAATTGTTATTTTTCTTTCATCGTTTATTTTTTCTCTCCCAGGCACGCAACAAGACAGGTCAAGTAGGTTACGTCCCAGAGAAATACCTGCATTTCCCAGCGTCCAACAGCCTCCTGAGCATGCTCCAGTCTCTGGCCACGTTGGATGCTCGATCGCACACCTCATCCAATTCAACCGAACCAGAGCTGCATTCGGGCTGCATCAACGGAGACGCAAACAGTACGTATCCCGACAGCTAAAGGTGGTGTTTACAGAGATTATAGTTTTTCTAACCTGTGCTCCAGACTCCTGCGTCTGCTCTACGGTCTGTTTGAACCAAGCTCCAGAGGAAGCTCTGTCACATAATTACTGTTACTTATTTTTGTCTTCTCTTTCCACTCATGCATACAGTTTTCAAAGCAGACAAGGAACTTTATTTCACTGAGAATAATTACTCCCTCTGTGTAACACTAATTGCTCTCTGCAGCTGTGTTTGTCCGGGCGCTTTACGACTACGAAGGCCAGGCAGACGAGGAGCTTTCCTTCTGCGAGGGAGCCGTGATCCGGCTGCTGAGCCGAGACACGCAGACGGACGACGGCTTCTGGGAGGGGGAGCTGAACGGACGGGTGGGAGTTTTCCCTTCTGTGTTGGTGGAGGATCTCATGGAGAATGGGGAGACGATCGGGGGAGGGTCAGGTGACACACAGGTACGATAGCACCTGTCTCCCAGAAAACACACACGGTATCAAAAAAAGTTGTGTTTGTAGCAACAACACTCCTCGTGGAAAAACTTCCCGAGGCAGATCTGAGTTAGAGACAAGCTTCAAAGTCCAGGACTGACCTGCATGCGCTGCGTCATCGGTCTTTTGTTGGGGTGGGGGCGGAGCACCGTCTGCTGTGCCACTTGACACCCCCCCCCCCCCCCCCCCCTTCCTGTCTGCTGTCCAGCTGACCTATTAGTAGGAGAAAAGTTCACAAACAGCGGATCAGAATCAACTGCAATTAGAGGGGAAAAGGTCTTATCAGTGGCACAGAGTGCAGCTCTGTTGGAGGTTCTGCGGCAGGAAGGATGAAGCCTCTCCCTTCCTTTGAGCCAGCAGACACAACAACTCTGTTTGCAGGGCAGAGAGTTAAAGTTGGCCTGAATTATTCTAGGAGATATCTAAAGCCAGAGAAATTTCAGTAAGACAATCACTAAGTAGAGAATTTTAAAGAAATTCTAAATCTTTCATCAACAAATAATCAAATGATTTAGTTTAAAGGGACAGTGTATAGTTTTTACCGTTAATCTCTGGAATTAAATATCCATCGAATTGCTGTCTAAAATGAATTAAATGATGCCCAGTTGTTGAAAAATATTGGCGGCTTCATAGCATTATAGCATATAACTGTAAAAATTGGGTATAAAATACATGGGAGCAGGTTTGAGGGTGTTTCTCAATGTTAAGATGCTTGCTTACAAGGACACCGTCCTTCCTTCGTCAAAGAAAACTGTTAAATGGAACAGACTTTACATCACGGTACTGTGGCCCCTGCGGTGGTCATGTGAGGTAAAGTTATATTTTATACGTATAAGTGTCAATTTTAAATGTATAACAAGGCTTTTACTTTTTAAATTGTGTATATAAGTTAAATATGTAAGCGTATTACTACCTGCTAGCCACCGAAGCTTCTAAGCAACTAACCAACCATAGCTAACTGCTTTGGATCTTTAAACAACATTTTAGATATTGGCTCGATAGCTACAATTAGTTGAATTATATTTAAACTGGAAATTTGCCCCCGAAGTAGCTGCTGGCTTCTGATCTACCATCCTTTTACCGCACTGTATTCTGGAAATTTTTGACTGACTGAGGACAACAATGCACCTCCAATGTACCCAGTGGGGAATTTAGCTATTTTGGGGCCCAAGGCGAACACAGACATGGGGGCCCCCTTACACAAAATTTTTGACAAATTCTACCTTTAACTGGATTTGCGAAACTCTCCCCCCTTCTGCCATGAGTTATTTTCCCTTTTTATTAGTCCTCCTCTTTTTTTCCTGTCTTTCCCTCTCTTTGAGTGCTTTCAGTATTTACTCTGCTTTCTTCTTCCTGTCAGTGCTCCAGTGCTTTTGCCTTTTAATTTTATTATTTTTCTATTTTCCATTTTGGTCTTTGTTTTCTTTCCTTTAAAAAAAGTCCATTGTCTTTCCTTTCTGCTTCCTTTTGATGTTTACATTGAAAAACGATGTCACTTTCGGAAGTGAAGATAAACTCTTTTTTTGAAGCAAGCTGCTTCTTCCTCTTATTGGAGCCACTAGGATAACTCCCATTACATGCTTAATGTTTTGACTACCGCTTCTAGTTTGTTACAAATGCTCCCGCCTCTCCACTTCTTCTGCTTTCTCTTCTTCTTCTTATTTGTGGTCTTATGATTACTGCCACCAACTGGATTGGAGTGGAATGACTACCAATCACTTCCTGTTTGTGCATCAAGTCTTAAAGGAATGGTCCACTGTGGCATTAACAAAGGGGTGCCGGCAGTCAGGGCTAGGGAGCCCCTCAACATAAGGGGGCCCAAGGCGACCGCCGACCTATGTCTAATGGTAAAACCGCCACTGAATGTACCCTTGCTCAGCTAGCTAAATGGCTAACAAACGGAGGACAGACTCCTCCGCAGCACATGAACATTGGAGCACGTCTTGGCAGTTGCTGATGACGTGTCTCCTAGGCAACCAGGGCGGGACCAAGACATCAAGGCAAGGTTCCTTGAAATTGAGGAACACCCAGGACAAAATTTGTGCTGCCAGGGGTTTTGACCCTAGTGGCCATCTGTTAGTAAGGTCTTGCTCAAACTTAAACATACTGCTTGCTTGCAATAATTTAGGTATACACTGCCCCTTATTGCCAGGGAAAATACACATAGTCACTTTAATGTCTTCAAATAAGTAATATATCAATAATAATAATAATAACAATAATAACTATAATAATAGTAATAATAATAATGATAATAAATTAACACATTTGCTTTTAAACAGCTCCACAGTCCACAGCCTTGAGTTTATTAATAATTTATCTTCTTTAGTTTTAACAGGTGTCAATTTCCACACAAAAGGCTTCACACTGCCAGTCAGCTGGCAGGAAAAGCTATTAAGTTGGTTGGTAAAACATTATGGATGTCATCAAATGTGTTAAAATACTCATAAGGGCATTAATAGAAAGGTGAGATAAGAGCTGCTTTTTGTTTTGTTTTACCGGAACTGCACTGCTCTGGGTGGCTGCATGTTGGAGCAGCTCTGTTGACTATATGTAAGTTTTGCCTTTTCTTAGACATGTTTTCTTCTGGTTTCTCGGGAGGAACGGTATTTGTTTGGACATTTTACTTTTCTGTTTCTGGTGCTGTGAAGCTTGGAGGATTTTTACTGCTATTTTTTCACTTTTTGCTGAAAATGCATGTGATGCCATCAGTTCCGTTGTCGCTAAGCTACAAACCCAGCACCCCAATGCATTTGTGGCGATATCTGGTGATTTTAATCATGCCTCGCTCTCTGCTACACTTCCAACGTCTCAACAGTTTCTCAGCTGCTCCACCAGAGAAAACAAGACATTGGATTTGTGTTATGCAAATGTAAAGAATGCATACATGTCCAAAACAAGACCTCTTCTGGGACATTCAGATCACAATCTTGTTTTTCTCTGCTCAGAATACAAACCACTTGTTCAGAGGCAACCTGTGACAAGAACTGTGAGAAAATGGTCACAGGATGCTGAAGAAGCCCTGCAGAGTTGTTTTGAGACCACAGATTGGATGACTCTCTGCCAAGGATATGAAGAGGACATCAATGCCATGACTGGATGTGTCACTGACTATATAAACTTCTGTGTGGACAACATCATACCCACCAGAACAGTGAGATGCTTCACTAATATCAAACCCTGGATCACCAGTGAACTGAAGAATCTGCTAAATGAGAAAAAAAAAGAGCCTTCAAGGAGGGAGACAGGGAATTATTGAGTAGTATACAGAAGCAACTGAAGTTCAAGATCAGAGACAACAAGGAGGCATACAGGAAGAAGCTGCAGAACAAAGTACAGAGGATCAATATCAGAGATGTCTGGTCAGGGATGAAGAAGATCACAGGCTTCGAGCAGAGGAAGGATTGCACGGACCGCTGACCAACACTGGCTACTGGAGATCCTTCCTGCCAACAGCCATTGTAATACACAGTAACTCTTTGATGACTTTATTATTATTATTCTGAGCTACTACAGCAATCAATTTCCCTCTGGGATTAATAAAGTATTTTTGAATGGAATTGAATTGAATTTATCATGTTAAAATGGACAAATATGCTGCCTTGTTTTATGTTCAAATACAAATGTTCACCCTGGTTTAGCACAATTTTCAAAACTTGTTACAAGAAAATGTTGTTGTTTATCAGACCAGTGAATGTTTTTTGTTATTTTACTTTAAAAATCTTTAAACCGATTCTCTTTTATCAGAGATGTTTGTCTCAAGATGAGTTCAGTTCAAATTCTTCATTTAAGCCACTAAATGTTGCCTTTTCAATTAAATTTAGTTTTGAACTGTTTATTCATATAAGATTGGTCTCAAGGCACTTTACAAAGTAAACTTACCAGTGCATTGGGCTCAGTTCATTATGCCAGTTGGTCAAAAGTTTATTACCCAAGTAAACCCGCAGGTTGCACGGCACAGCAATCCCCATTCTAAGCAAGCATGTAGCGACAGTAGAGAGGAAAACTCCCCTTTGGTAAAATGGTAAATGGCCTGTATTTGTATAGCGCCTTCATAGGGTTCTACAACCCCCAAGGCGCTTCACAGCACAGTCAGTCACCCATTCACACACACATTCACACGCTGGTGATGATGAGCTACAATGTAGCCACAGCTGGCCTGGGACGCACTGACAGAGGCAAGGCTGCCGAGCACTGGCGCCACCGGTCCCTCCGACCACCACCAGCAAGGTTAAGTGTCTTGCCCAAGGACACAACAGCAGCATTCTCTGGTCAGAGCCGGGATCGAACCTGCAACCTTCCGAATACTGGACAACCCGCTCTACCTCCTGAGCTACTGCTGTCCCCTTTAACAGGAAGTAACCTCCAACAGAACCTGGCTCAGTCTGAGCAACTATCTTCCACGTTCAACTGGGCGTTTGTTAAAAGACAAAGTAACAAAGATGTAAAACTAAATGACCTTTGTGGTTGTATCTTATTTTTTGTGTATTTTGCTGATCACTTTCTTCAGATTTCTCCTCCTTCAAAGCTGCCATCATCCCTGCCGCCTTTGCCGCTGTACGACCAACCTCCCGTCAGCCCTTTCACCAGCCCAGAGACCTCCACCCCCCCTCCTCTGCCACGTTCACCCTCTGCTGCTCTTAATGGGGAGCACAAGCTTCCACTGCCAGCCTCCTCACACAAAGGACAGCTGTCCTCTCTCAGTAAGACAGACACCAGACTTTTATCAAGCAGCACGCTGATTGAGTCAGATCACTGGGCCTTTTTAGCTCAAGTTCTCATGCTTCTCTCTGTAGATCAAAGCTCTGGCAGGAGTCCAGTTTCTCCAGGATTTGTTCAGACTCGGTCGCTGCGGTTCACAACTGAAGGAGGTCCCGGAAAACTACGACCGGTTAGTATGGAACTTGTTTTTGATGCGTGGTGGATGTTGCTGCTGTTTCAGTGACGCGCCCAAAACTATTCTTCAAAGTCAAGCAGTGTTATGTTGCAATTCAAAATAAACATGTAAAATGTGTCAGCTGTGTTTTTGTGAAAGAAAGATAAAATAAGCCTGGGAGCGACCCAGAAAATGTCCGATTCTTGCAATAGAGTAATAACTGTCCTCCTTTAGCATGGGTGAGCATTACACACAGTAATGTGTAGAGGTATTTGGGACATTTTGTTACATATTTTTAAAGAAAATTCCATTTTCTTGTCTTTGTTGCTATTATGCCTCATTTCAGGCTTTATTCCTATATTTTTAAGGTGTGGTTCACTCATTTTATCAATACATTTGCAGTGGTCTCTGGTAGGAATCAGTGCCTTGCAAGTCGTACTTGGGGTGGAAAAATAAACCGGTGCACCATTTTTAGGAACTAGCAGTTGCCCACATCACAGCTAAGCTTTAGATGGTAGGTTTGGAGTCTAATTATCTGATATTTGGAAATCTCACCTTGGATTGGATAACAGCAACGCCACTCTGCTACTGACTTGCAACGAGGATGTTTTATCGCCAAAAATAACACAAGCTTGGAGGAGTTCTGCTCTGTGGTGGATTTGCTAATGCTAACAATTAGCTTTTAATAGTCGGGACGTTCTCTGCTCTTTCCTGGATGATAAACCAACAATAGCCTTCCTCGTTGTGAGTCAAGATGAGTGTCCATGAATGTTAAGTGACATTGTGACGCTGATCTGTCAGGCCTTCCTAATCCTAGCTTTTCAGCATCTATTTTCTATCAAAGTCTAATGCAGCAGGTAGGTGTAGGAGACTATTTTCATGTTCAACCTGTATGAAAACTCAGTTTTCAGTGAACCGCATCTTTAAAAGGTGATATGTAATATTTTACCATCCTGTTTTTTTGCAAAATGGGTAATTTTGCACTTAAACACACTACTTTCTACTTTTCATGGATCAATTACATAGTTGGACGTAATGCACTTTAGTTTATGTTTAAGAAAAGGAATATTTTGTTTAAAGAAGCAGCATTTAGAGGCAAGTTTTAGCATTTTCAATGTTAATGTAAATTAAATCCTGTTTAAACTCTTTAATCTCTATATAATGAATTCCTCTTATGTCTTTGTGTTGCTCTTAAGTCTTTCTATAACTCCTAAATACTTTCAGTTTCTTTATTTGTTTACTTGATTACGCATCAGAATATTTGCTAGGTTACTCGATTACTAAAATAATCGACAGCTGCAACCACACTCGTTTACTTTTTAAATGAACTTTATTTACAAGTTTTTACGGGACATTAATCAAACATCAGTGACTTATAAAACACTTTGGACCTTTACAGCTTTAAATGAAACATTACCAACATAAACATAATAAAATTGCAATAAATAAAAAAATAAAAAAACTCTATAACACAAGAACGACTATTGTGTGTTGCATTTTAAATCGGGGTAAACATACTTTCTGTGTGTAGAAATACTTCACAGTTTCCAACTCCTGGTCACCCACATGTCTGCCAACTTCATCTGATGTGTGAATCCCTGCTAAAGCAGAGCAGCACCTGAATTTCCTCTAGATACAAAAAAAAAAAAGAGGAAAGTTGACCTCCATCACGGTCTGCTGCTTTCATTCTCCCGCTCAGCACCAGGGAGCACAAGAACGTAACTCCTCATAGAGGGATGGAGGCTTCAGGGAGGGTTATTAAAACGGGTCCAAAGTGATCGACTCTCCTCTCTTGAAGATGTTTGCTACCAGAACAGATTGAAGGACATCATTAAGGAGAATTCTCATCCCCGCCACACGCCCTGTTTACAGGAAAACAGAACAAACCCACAGTTTCCTCCCAAATGCCATTCAGTCACTAAACGAGAGGAAATAGTTTTTTAATAGATGTAACAAAGTAAAAATCATTTTTAGAGCGTACTACAGCTGTGTTAGAGCAACAGTGCCTTGCCTTCTCCCTCCAGTTTAATGTTTTCTGATTGTGTGCTGCAGGTGCGAGCCGCTCCCCCTCCCCCCAAACAGCACCCCCGACGGCAGCAGGAGAAGAGCGACAAGATGGAGGAGGTGGAAATCACACTGGTGTGACAGACAGGTGCTACAGGTGTCAAAGATAAAAAGGGATGAGAACCAAGACCTTGAAGGAGGGGAGGGCATAACTAAAGTGATGTGAACTAAATGAAACCACGTTGACCCCCCACCCCCCGGCTGCTCTTCATCTTTAATTTGAAGAGGAGAGCAAAGAGAGACCGTGGACAATCAGACAACCTCCTGATGGGCTTCCTAACGAAGTGCAGAAGGAGTTCCTGTTCATCCTTTCCTGTTCTTCCAATCCGGCCTTACAACCTCAAGCCACTGGGCGGCAAACCGGAGCGTCGCTAGCAGGAGGAGAAACGCTGTGGAAGGGGGATTCTGTTAAATGCTCAGAGATGGGTTTGTGCTGTTAAGCTCTGTATCAGATAAGTAGGATAATTCTGTTCTTCTGCACTTTTTAAACAATTATTCTCAAAGCACCAGTCCAGTTTGGAGCTCTAAGTTAACAAAATGTAGTCAAAGCTAATCAACTGAACAAGAAAATATTTTTCCCTCACGCACACTGAAAACATGCAGAGCAGCCGATATGATTTTTAAAGTTAATTCATTATTGCAGCAACACTCTGGAAATTTCTGCTAAATAACAAAAGTATTTTTAAAACCTAAACATGTTTTTGAAGAAATAACTACATGTAATTTTTGCAGGATTGGAAGTTTAGGGTCAAAAGTTAATAAAACATTATAGAAATATGTGGCTCCTATAGAGCACAGACACGTGAACTAGACCTAACCTGGCTCCAGCTGCTTAAAAAATACTTCCACGTCACATCCTCATCACTTCTGCTACATTTTGGGAGTGTTGAAGCTTTATGAAACTTTATGAAAAAGATAAAAAGTAAGAAAAACTTGCAGAGTTTGTTGTGTTTTAAGAAGCAGGGGTGTGTCCACAAACAGCATCCTGGGTGCAGCGCCCCCCTCCTCAGCCCTCCCTTCACCATATACGGTCATTACCATTATATGTAATTAATGTGTATTAGTACAGTACATTACTGTTGTCATAGGAATGTTTATGCACATGGTTTCATATGAACAAAATCAGATGAATGGAAAGCTCTGATAGTGAAAGTTTTATCTTCATCTTATTCTGAAAGGGTGTTGTAAATACAGCAGGAAACAGGAAGAGGAGGGGAGGAGGAAAAACAGGAGCTGATGGAGGCTGGATCCTCTTCTCTCTTGTTTATTCCTCTCCTCCCATCCCTACTTTTTATCTCTCCATCTTCTGTCTGTCGTTGGGCAGTCGGTGTGACCCGGTGGTTATAACACACATGCAGTTACAGAATATTACACACGTTATACCTTCTCTTTCTCCTTTATTAGTTAAAGAAAGCTGCTGCTGCTGCTTTGAAACGCACAGAGATGGTTCATCATACGGCGAAAGAAACAACTTTAAACTATTAAAGTGTGTTTAGGGTTGTAAACATCCAGAAAAGTCATATTTCCTTCATTCATTCATCTGTTCTTGTTTACCCGATGTTACATTTGCAGGTTTTTTAAATCTATAAATAGAACTAGAAAATGATACTCAGAGATGTTTCTGTTGTGTGTTTTTACTCAAAGTAAATACATCCCATCCCTGATGTACACGTGGAGCCTTTAAAACTCCTTGCCTAAAGGGCAGCGTAGCACTTTTATTTATTTGTACCTTCCCTAGAAAGTAGCAGAAGTCTCCGGTGGCGTCAGCATGGACAAAAAAAAGAGCCGTTGAAGTGTTGTTTTTTAACACTGGCGCTTTCTGATATCTTACAAAAATGTGTCACTCTTTAAAAATAAACAGATGACTGAAATGTGTCATTTGATGTTTTACTTTATTTATGGAAAAAAGGGGTAAAAAAAAGACTTTTTTTATTCTGTTGTGCTGAGGAAGGTCTGGCTGAGTTGCTTAAATCTGGAGATTTGTCCCAATCGTTTCTGACCTCCGGCATTTTCTCTCTGAATTATACAAAAGGAAACAGTTTTACTTTGAAAAGCTGTGCAATGAGACATCAGAGGAACAAAACCATCTAAAGGTTAAATGTGATAAAAATGAAATTCAAAAACTTTTCCATTATAAAGTTTTTAATTTTAGATTTTATTAGCGAGGATCTGAACATTCCGTGTTACTGAAACTGATATTTATTAAATCCTGGAACTATTGGAGTGTATTTAATCTGGAATTGATCTAGTTTCCTGTTTGCAATGAAAATAAAACTAAACAGCAGATTCTCCTTGATCTTATTTATTATAATTTGAAACTTTACTTTTGTTTGGAGCCCAGAATGTTCCATCACAGATCCATCGGTCTGTCTCTCTATTGTTACTTTTAGGACCTTTTTTCTCCATTTCCCCCTTTACCTAAGACAGCTGTCCCTTTTCAGCATCTCGTTAATCCACCACAGTGTTTAATTATCTGTTATTTTGGCTTTTTATATTTTTTACAGTTAGATGTGGTGGAACAACAGGCCTTCTCGCTCTCTTTTCAGATTGTTGCCATAGTGACAAAAATGAGAGTCAGCATATTGTTATTGGCTGTACAAAAAATAAAGTTTGTATTTATTGTGTACAAAAGTTAATTAATAAAAATTATTAAAAGCTTTTCTGTCTTTTTACTGAACGTGTGTGTGTGCATTTGTGCTTATAGTGTGTGTGTGTGTGTGTGTGTGTGTGTGTGTGTGTGTGTGTGTGTGTGTGTGTGTGTGTGTGTGTGTGTGTGTGTGTGTGTGTGTGTGTGTGTGTGTGTGTGTGTGTAAGTGGGCGTGATCAGGATAGCAGTCTATAAACACCCTGAGGCCGGAGTTTCCTGACTGGATCAGAGAAAGATTGTTGTTCCAGATCACTGAATATGTTTCTGTAAAATGCTTTCCTGTTTTTTTTTTTTTTTTTTTTTTTTTTTTTTTTTGTTTGTTTGTTTGTTTGTTTGTTTGTCTTGGACTAAAGCTGCCGGGTAGACATGCTCTCCACAGGAAAAGACTGTTTCTCCTCACCTTCCAGCTGCAGCTCAACCTGTGTGAAACTCTACTTGTGCTCCAACCCAGAAGGTAAAGAATGAGTCTTTTGACTTTAACAGAAGTTGTGCATTTTATGGATTGTGTTATCTCCTCGTCTGTGAAGTGACTATCTGGATCCTGTTTTTGTTGCGTACAGACAGTGTGGTCGAGCGTAGAGCCCTCCGAGAGAATGTGTTCCCCAGGTTTAGAGAGCACTGCAGACACTCGTTGGAACTGGATGTCCGGGTTAGTCCACATCTGTAAATCCTGCTCACGTCACTAAATGCTGCACGTGTTAGTTTTTAACAAGTACAGCAAAAGGATTTTTAAATTTTCTTTTCCTCTTGGCTTAAAACAGTAGTTTGTGAAAATTTCAATAATGCAACTTGAAAGTTGGGCTACACAGTGGTGCAGTGCATAGCGCTGTTGCCTTGCAGCTAGAAGGTCCTGGGTTCAAATCCTTCTGCATGGAGTTTGCGTGTTCTCCCTGTCCATGTGTGGCTTTTCTTCGGGTACTCTGGCTTCCTCCCAAAGTCCAAAAACATGTCAGGTTGATTGGTTACGTGTGTGTGTTTGGTTGTTTGTCCTGTGTGTCTCTGTGTTCCCTTTGATGGACTGGCAACATGTTCAGGGTGTACCCCGCCTGCTTGCTCAGAGATTGCTGGAGATATGCACCAGTCCCCCCACCATCCTTGCGTGGATAAACTGGTTTAGAAAATGCATGGTTGGATGGAACTTGAAAGTCATCACCTGTGGTCTCCCAGAGAACTAAAGGGACTTCCTTTGGATTCTTTAGTCTTTCCTCTGTTGCCAAGGCAACACATCCAGGCTCAAGAGTACAATGCCCTTTATCAAGCTTGAGAAAATGAAATATTTGAATAGAGGAAACTGGAGGAAGTTACCTGATGAGTGGAAATCCTTTAAACGGTTCAGTTCATGGTTTTTACTAATGAGGCCACACCCTTCGGTTTAATTACTTAATCCTGTTTTTTACAGATAATAAATTAAAATGTATGTCATGTAATTAAAATACAAGTTATTTTTGTGCAAAACTTTACATATAAACAATTTTTATTATGACACGTAGTCTTTATTACTAGTAACTTTATGATGCGAAAGCAGTTGCGTTCGACTGCCATTAGGTGTGTGTGTGTGTGTGTGTGTGTGTGTGTGTGTGCTTATTTCTTAATATATACATAAAGCCATCTTTGTAAAGGCACAATTGATTCAGCTCATGTAATTAGATTTAACAACAAAGACGACAAGCAGCTGTTACAGGAATGCATTGTGTGTATTTTTGCTTTAGCGCGCGCGCGCGCGTGTGTGTGTGTGTGTGTGTGCGTGCGTGCGTGCGTGCGTGTGTGTGTGTGTGTGTGTGTGTGTGTGATGAATCACCCCAGGGCAGGTCGATCAGCCCATTGTTTGGTGTATTCTTTTGTGTAATGAGATGAAGGACAAACATCAGGTTTATTCGTTTGAATCGTACTTGTCTGTTTCGGTGCTAATTTTGAGGTCACATCTCTCCTCTAGATTCTTGAAAGCCTTCGTGTGTGTGTGTGTGTGTGTGTGTGTGTGTGTGTGTGTGTGTGTGTGTGTGTGTGTGTGTGTGTGTGTGTGTGTTTTCTCTGCAGGTCATCGACCCGTTTGAGTCCAGTGATCCCCGTCATTGGCCAGATGAAAACACCAGACAGCAGCTAATTGAGCAATGCAGGGAGAGCTCAGCTGGACCATTTTTACTGGTTAATAGCAACAACTGAAAACATGAGAAAACACAAAAATGTCTCTTTTGAGATAGATTTTTTACTTTTCATTGCTCCAGTCATTCATCGTTAGATAAAAGTTGATCAGGCCATGTTATAAAAAGATGTATGGTCATCAAAAATGAATAAAACTCCCTAAATGTCCTGAAGCTGAATCAGAGGTGGTCTGAAACAAATGATTAGAAACAGAAATCACAACTAACCAAGTCAGCACAGGACACACAGGTGCACAAATCAACACCATCAACACCAACCCTTGCTTCTCACTCTGCTGTCCCTTCTGTGTCCACATGGTGGTGGTGGTGCAGGCTCTAATTGGACATCGGTATGGAACAGCCGGTCTGCCCACCCAGGTGGAGGTGTCAGAGTACCAGCTACTCCTGCAGGAGAGCCAGCAGGAGGGCGTCTGCACCCGGCGTCTGGAGGGGGCGTACCAGCGGGATGAGAACACCGTTCCTCCCTCCTACTGTCTGAGACCTCAGGTCAGCTTGCTTCTGCTCACCACTGTCTCTTCTTGTGAATTTGTGATTAGTATTTGTTGAATGAGCAGGAAAAGTTGTATTTTTAATCTCAACAGGCAGAAGTGACAAAAGAAGGCTGCAGCAACACGAAATATGAAGAAGAGCTGAGAAGGGTCTTTCAGACAGCTGTGAGTCTGTGTGTCCACAACAAGGTCATGACCCCCGACAGAGGACGTGTTCTCTGCAGATCAGGTGAAACAAAGACATTAGTCTGAGTAGATTTTAGTTGGAACATTAGATAATCTCAAGGTGATGTGTAGATGAAATCCGGAACACCTTCAGCTGTTCATTAAACCAAATCCATTCCATATCTTGTGGTTTGTCTCCAGCTCTGGATGCAGACCTGCGATTTGCTCTAGAAAAGTGCCCAGTAGGCCGCATCTCCAGTGGCTGTGTGGTCTACGTCCACAAGGTGATTAATGCAAATGAAGACAGAGGGGAAACACAGGTGAAGTCACAGCTGCAGACTAAGTCAGAGGTGAACCTCCTGCCCTTTAATGGAGTTCATCACAGAGCCAAAAATCTAATTTGAATATCTTGAATGTCCAGTTTAAGATCTTGGACCCACCATCGCCCACCCAGAACGATTTATTGTCTGATCTGTGTGACCAATTCCTCCCTGCTCTCGTCAGTTCCTCCCAACTTCTGCTGTACAACACAACCACAGAGTGTGACCGTCGTCATGGTTACACTACAGTCAGGAGGCGAAGCTACACAGAGTCCCTGTGCCAGCAGGTGTTCGCGGACCTCGTGATGTTAACTGAAAACTTGAACACTTCTCTGTTGGGAGGAGACACTCGCACTGGAGAGGCTTTATGTTGGGAGAGGTCTGAGCAGACGTGCAACAGCCTGTCAGGATTTTATGACATCATTTTACCAGAGGAGGACAAGGTCAGGCTTTGTCATGAATGCTTTTCTAAGTATTATTCTTATTATGTTGCAACTCACTGAATAAAAATACTTTTACTTTGTTAATGAATAAAATGAGCATATCCATGATTTTGATGATCTTTTACAGTTTTTTCATTTTTCTTCCGTTTAAAGCTTCCTTTGTGAGAGTTACTTCTGCAGATCACTAATTACAGTTTCTCTGGTTTGTTTCAGATCAAAGCTTTTGTGTTGCAAAGGAAGCATCGGTGTCCTCTAGTGGTGACTGGGGGACCGTGCACAGGGAAGTCGGTGCTGGCCGCACACTGCGCCCAGCAGGTCTGAGCAATAAAATGTTATAAAAAAATCATTCACATTTTATGTTCCTAACTGACTGACTTTTAGAAAACAAAATCTACTATAAAATAAGTATTTTAGGGCAACAAATGTGTTATTTATGAGGTTAAGTACTTAAGTTGATGGATTAAAGATAGTTATTGCACTGAAGATTCAGTGGTTTCTGGAATTCTACAAACTAAGCAGTCAGCTCTGCAGTTTTCAGACTATTAGGTTACAACTTTTTCTGCAGATGCTATTTTAATATAAAATAGACTTTCTCTATTTATTACTTTATTTAATTAATGGCTTTGAATGGCTTTAATCCTACTATTAGATTCGTGCTTGGTGAATTTTTAAAAATAGATGAAAAATAAAGATATTTATCTCTACCGCATGATGTCAACCTCCTGAGACCCAAATTTGTATTTAGTGAGATGTAGAATAGAATTAAATAAAAATGTTGATACATTTTCTAAATAAAAAAACAAAAACAAAAAAAGAAATAAAAAGAGTATTTTTTTTAACTTAAAGTCAATATCAAGTGTCTAAATAAAAATAAAAAATGTCTAAGTTGAAGAGAAATAAATATTAAAGTGTGCTGGTGAAGGTTCTCAGTCAGAAACCAAAGAATCTAGTTACCGTCTTTTGAACCATTTTGGAATAAACATTAAAGTGCAAGAAGCTAACGTCCTCATACGTGGATGCAGGGTCCCGGGAACAGTCAAACCTAATCTCTCTTTTCTCCACAGATTAAATCCTGGCTATCAGACAGTGATCCTGTGGTGATCAGTTATTTTTGTAGTCTGTCAGTCAACACGACTCCAGAGCATCTGCTCTCCAGTATGTGTTCTCAAATCGCTCACAGATATGGCGTCCAGTCTTTGTCTAAAAATGGCCCCAACTTCTGCTTCACTGGTCCAGCCGAGAACAAAACCAGCAGCTGCTCAACATCTGTTCTAGATTCTCATCACAACCACGATGGCGACCTAAACCTCTGTACCAAATCTGGTCCTAAAATACCTCATTATGACATCACCACGGTGCGTCTGTCTGAACTTGAACAGCATCTTGAATGTCTCCTCTCATTACTCCCTTCCACAAAGTGTCCTCTTGTTCTAATACTTGATGGTTTGGATCAACTGGAAGATGACGTTGCAGCTCGGATAATCAGGAGCCTTCCCTCCCCCCTCCCTGATGAAGTCCAGCTCATCATCACAGCTTCTTCCAACTGTACACATTTCCTGCAATCCATCGAATCCCATTATTCAGAGGGCCGTGCATCAGTCGCAAAGAAGTCAGGATTCGTTTGCATTCAGCTGGAATCAGTAAACAGGAAACAATGTGGGAAGTTAATGGAATCTCTGCTGAAAACTTCAAGGAGGAGGGTGACATCAGGACAACAAGCTCTGGTGAACCAGGCTCTGACTTCCTGTTGTCTGCCTCTCTATGCACGGCTCCTGCATGCACACGCCTCACTCTGGCGCTCTGGTATGAACGGGACCAAAAAAAGACGACCATTGAAACAAGAAAATACACAAAATCACCTAACCTCCTTTTCTTGTTTACCTTTTTTGTTCTTCAGACTCAGATGTGACAGAGTCATCTCTCCCTGATGGGGTCCATTTGTCCATTTCTTCTCTCCTGGATCACCTGGAACTGAAACATGGCTCCTTCGTCGCTTGTGCAGCCTCATACCTCACCCTCTCCAGAACCGGGCTCTCTGAGGCCGAGCTCGCTGACCTTCTGTTCTGTGACGACTGTCTTCTAGATGTTTCTCCCGCTGAGGGCCACGCCTCTAAGCTGAAAGTCACACAGGTTGATGTGGAGAGGCTGCTTTTAGATCTAAAACACTTTCTCATCAAAAGGACCATTTTAAACATGGAGGTTTTGCTCTGGGTGAGCAGGCATTTCGGGTTGGTCATTAAAAAGAAGTATCTGGGCACCAGTGAGATAAGGACAAGGATTCATTCAAAGATGGCAGACTATTTTGGTGACCGGTGGAGTTGTTGGGATAGGAAACAGCCTTCTTCATCAGGACCAAAACATCCTTCCTCTGATAATGTCCGCCGAGTTGACATGAGAACGCTCTTAGAGTTACCCCATCACTTGCTACAGAGTGGCAGGTCTGCAGAGTTTGAACACGGGTTGTTGATGTCCTCCAGCTTTCACCAAGCTATGGTTCAAACTGGTCTACTAGGTGACCTTGTATCCATGCTGGAGGCTGGTGGAGGCTCATCTAAAATGTTTTTAAGAGAAAGAATGCTACTAATAAGCATCTTGAAGTCATGTGCTTGCTTCCTGCAGAGTTCACCCCTTCATCTGCCAACAGTGATGGAGACAAGTCTCCTCCCTTACCTGGAGGTGTTCCCTCATCTTGAAGGTTACATAAATGACATCAGACAAGAACGAAGGCAAACCAGGAGAGGATTAGGATTAGTTGTTTGTCCCAGTCCCTGTTCTGTTCCCCCCATTCGATATTCAGGGTATGAGGTAGAAGCCAATATGGTGTGTGTCACAGAGGCTGCTGGTAACGAATGTGGGGTTGTCGCAGAGGTTATGGATGACGGTTCTGCTTGGATTAGGAAAGGTTCGTGTTTCGATCTCGCCCAACTTTCGCTGGGCCCTGAGCAGAAGGAGCTGATGTTTACGGGAGTGAAAAGCAGCGGCCAATTTCTGCTGCTTTCAACACAAAGCAACAGGCTGTTCGCGTGGGACGTGGCGGGCCCAGAGAGGCTTCTGGAGATTAACAACCCTCTGAGAACCGAATCCCAGTTGAGCCAAACAGTAAACAGAGTCACTGGATTTGTTGCATGGCGGAAGAAGTTGTGCATGTGGGGAAACGGGGAGACTTTTGTTAGTGTTTTTGATCTCTCCACTGAGACGGTGACACGTTTCCAGTGTAGCAGCTCTGTCACCTGTTTGGTTTGCCCCTTTAATGGTTCGTGTCTGTACTGTGGACAGGAAGACGGCACCGTATCCATGTTTAACATGAAAACCAACAGTCTTCTTAGCACCTGTTCAAACTCAAACTGCAGCGCAGTCACTTTGATTATCCTGCATGACGAGAAGCAAGAAATGGCGTGCATTGACAGGACAGGGAGCATAGCATTATGGGACGTGGCTGACAACATTCAAACACCCAAGCTTATCAAAGAAACCTTTAATCCGGATGATCTTTATGACATCCTCAACTCAGATTATTCAGGAGACATCTGTTCTCTTTTGCTGTGCCAGCCACACAAGGTGACTCTGTGGGATACATGTGACTGGGAGCTGTGGGACCAGTTTTTGGCTTCTGAAGGGAGAGCTTTCACTCAAGCAGTGCTCTCTATGGATGGACACTTTTTCCTGGCATTGTTGGATGGTTGCACCTTCGTCTTGGTGTGGAGGATCAGCACCGGGGAGTGTGTCATCTCATTAGAAACAAACACACCGCCTCACATGCTTCTCAAGCTGGGTTCAGATATCATCTACATCAGTCAGAATGGATGCCTGACCACGTGGGATGCTGAGATGATCCATGCTGTTGGATCTGCTCCAAAAATGCGAAGCGGAGTGACAGGTGTGGTGGTTGAGGAATCACGGCAGCAGTTTTACTCCACGGATGGGTCAGAGAACGTGTGGAGGTGGAGTTTAGCCACTGGAATTCCAGATGTTAACTTCAAACATTGTGGATCTGTAGAAAAGCTGCAGCTGTCTCCAAATGGAGTTCATCTGGTTTCCCTCTCAGTAGGTGAAATCTATATTTGGCGGACAAAAACGAGACAAAATATTCTGCGGATCAGTAACAGCAGAGCTGCAGACATCCTGATCACTCCTAATAGTAACTTTGGAGTGAGCATGTCCAAGCAAGGCCTCTCCCACGTTTGGAAGGTTGCACATGGTGCTATAGTGTGCAGCATTCACCAGTATCTCGCTGATGCTCAGGTGTCCCCCGAGAGCACGTTCCTCATCGGGCTCTGCTGTGGGGGCCTGCTGGCTGCCAGCCTTTGGTCAGGTTTGATCAGCAAGCGCTTCACCTGCGTGGAGAACTCGGAGTCTGTCGTTGCTTTCCACACACTTTCAGAGCACCCAGACTTTGTGGTGGTGATGATTGCCTCAGGGGCGGTGTACACCTGGAAGCTATCAGAGGAGACAGTGTGCAGGCATTTTCATCTGCCTAATATGTTTTACTGTCAGCCACAGAACTTTCAGATGTCCTCTGATGGGAGCTGTGCGCTCATATCTACTGAAAATGACTCCATCAACGTCTTAGACCTTTCTCGGGTCAGACTGTGCTCATTTAAAGCTGAGGGTTCTGTCATTAAGGCCTGCATGGACAACACGGGGTGCTATGTTGCGTACATATCCAGCCCAGACAACAGCTGCACCTGTTACCGGCATGCTAAGCTCATCCTCACAGTCGCACGACTCTCAGACGGGGAGAAAATAGGAAGCGTGCAGCTGCACAGCAAGCCGCTGCTTCTGTTTGTGAGCGAGCAGCAGACTGTGTTTGTGGGTTTTGAGGATGGATCTGTAGGCGTGTACGCTGTTTCAGGTGTTACAGTGGGTGAAGAAGAGTTCATCAGAGAGAGGAAGAGTTTAGAAGATCATCTGGAAAAATGTCCCTTTGATAGAGAGCCACTGAGCCTTTTTTGTCAAGACAAACCCAATATTACTTGGCCTTAGAGTTATTTCTTGCTGGGTTGGGGCTAGGTGCACACAGAAAACCATTTTTAAACTACACAACGTATATTAGTTTTGGAAAGCTCCGAAAGAGTATGTTTGTTGACCCTTTGTTTCAGCTGTTCCTTGTATGTATGTACTTTTTGGTACATTAACTGATCTTCAAACAGATTATCTTGTTTAGTTACTTTCTGTGTTGGTTACTTGCAGATGGACATAAATTGTTCTTTATTGTAGCTTTGCTTTTCCCCCACATATACCTTTTCCACAGGATATATACTCAAACACCGAATAAACACTAATAAACTTAACTCAAGGTTCTTACAAGCTCAGTCTTTTGTCTTTAATTAGAATAACTGGAAAACAGTTTACTCCTTGATTATGATAGTGTGTGTGTAGTATGGACTTAAATGATTAAAGGACTTTTTTATAGCTGGACAGGAATGAAAAACGCACAGATCCACCACATTACGTAAATCATTTGTGTTTAAAGGGACATATGAAAAGCTCACCTTTTGTGCTGCCATGGGGGTCTCTACTGCCTCTATAAACACTCCAATTGTTAAAAAAAACAGTCCATCCATTTTCTGTCTGTGTTTAGGAAACAAACCATTTCAAAAAGTCCCCATTTGTGATGTCACAAAATGGGAAAAATTAGCACAGAACCATCTCTAGCCTGGAGAAGAGGGGGGGGGGGGGCGGTGGGGGGCGTGGCTAGGAACAACTTTTTTTTTTCAAGTGACAAACCCCTCAATGGCTCATTCTGGAAGACACTGAAAATGTCAAGAATAAAACTGATGAGATAACTGTTATTTTATGCAAATGTAGCGTCATGAATGTCCTATTTTTGACCTAAAGGTCATGATCTGCTGTGTCTGCTCGAGCAGAGACATAGAGTCTCTGACAGGCTAATCTACATGAGATATTGGCCAAGGTCTTTCATGCACTCTGCTCATCTGAACTGCTTCACCTCTGTTACAGCTCAAGACGAAGACGAAGAACTCTCTTGATAAACACATAATCAACCAACTTTGTTATTACAATAATAATGTGAGCCCAAAGTTCAATCAATCTGTGAAATGACAAAGTTATTACTTGATATTATACTCCTGTGATCAGTAGTATTTTACAAGTAATTATAATCCCGGACATTTGTACTAGACACTGATGACACATAATGCTGAAGTTACATGACACATTTCCTTTTGTCTGATCCAGTCAGAACCTTTGTTTCTGATGCAAGGCGTGGTTTTCTGTGGTGTTTGTATAAACCCTCTTTTGCATGTCAAATTCTGATTCGCCAGTTAACCAAAATATGACAATTATAAAAACTATCCCACGCCACCTTTTCTTTAGTTCAAAGCATTCTAGAGAAGTCTCGGACAGGCCATCCGGACTTCCTCTTCAGCTAAAAGAACCTCGACAAGCTGGATAAAATCTGTTGCAAGTTACACCTGACCGCAACAGTTCCTTCAGAATAAAAGCTGAACCTCACGACCCCTTCAGGGTCTTGCTGACACCAATGAACCTGTCGTGACCTGGAAGCATTCCAAGACTAGTTTGGTCAGCGCCGCTGCTTTTCTACCAGCTTCGGTTCCCAGGAGGGTCCAAGAGGACCTCGACATTCTGGATCTAAATGGAGGCTGCCCCTGGGTACATAGACCGACAGATGGCGTCTCATGTGTGTTAGAAATCTCCAACTGTAGTTTAGAGTGAACTTTCACTCCCACTCAGAACTAAATGCTTCTCCGGATCCGCTGGTTCTGATAATAACATTCCACACACACACACCATCATCGCACGTCTCACTCCACCTATGGTCCATCAGTACACAGAGTGTTTAAGTTAGTCTTGTTTAAATTGTGTAGAAACACATTTCTTAACTATTATAAACCTGACTCTCTCTTTCCTTGGAGTTAATACGAAGTGTCAAGTAATCCCTGCAATAAAAAGTTCTGATCTTCTGGTTAAAATATTCAAAGATCCATCAGATTGATATTTCATATTTCTATGGAATCTCATATTTTATGGTTCATAAGTAAGATGTAAACTACCCATCTTTTACACAAGCAACTTCATGACTATGTTTTTATAGACCGCTGTACCTTGAGAAAAAAGTCCAAATAGACCCCTTTAAAAAAATGTCATGTATTTTTAAAAATATTTTGCTGACTCAGACTCTCTTTTTCATTTCTGATTAACTATATGGCTGTAGATAAAGCAGCTCACATTTATTTACATTAAAATAAACACCATCTATGTCAAAACATTTCACATTTCAGATAAAAGGGGGCGTTTTATATTTAAACCGTTAAATAAATATAGTTTTCAGTAAATTATAATATGTTCATGTTAATTAGTAATGTTGTGATTGTCATGCGTCTACTCAAAAGAAAATCTCTAAAATAAAAATTGTATGTGGGAAAATGGGCGTGTCCTTAGGCAACTATAATGCCTTCAGGTAAAATTGGAACACGTGGTTCACAAATCGCTTTTAAGCCATGGTAAATAACTTGTCTTTGACAAGTTGCAACTATATTCACCACAGAATAAGCAACTTAAGTCTAACAAAAGAACAGCACAGTTGGGACATTCTTTTATCTACGAATTAGCTGTTTCTTGTAACCTTTATAGGTGAATTAATTTATCTCCAATAGTACATGAAAGCAGCAGAAGATGAATACTGAGGACGCGTCGCGTGGTCACTTCAGGTAGAGACATGTTGTTCTGTTGGGGGGACAGCTCCTCTGGACAATTTGGTCCACAGGCAGCCTTTAGTCCGGTGTCCTGGTCCGGTCCCGGGGACTTAACCAGTGTCTGTTGCGGAGAGCAACACACTTTATTCCTCCAGAGGGACGGAAAAGTCTTATCTTGTGGACAAAACTCCATGGGTCAGCTTGGCCGAAGGAATGCTAAAGTTAAGATGCTCGGTAAGTTTGAGACACAATTAGGGTTAGGGTAAACGGTTCAGTTTTTCGTGTTTGAAAGTTTTTATTTATTTTTTTCAGTTCAGCCTGGAGTTTAAAGAGTTTATCATTTAGTCATGAGTCATATAATCTTGCGCAGTCAGGGGATACGTTTCAGTTTCGTTTCATCCGGGTTTCTCCGCCGTAGCCGCGGTGAAGTTAGCTTGAAGTTGGACGTTGGATATTCGACAGACATTTCAGCGATAAATTAATTACTCAATTTTTGATAAAAATCCTAATGAAAAAGGTTGGATCTTGTGAAATGTTATAAAACTGCTGCGTCTCTTTGGTCTGGCGTAGAAGCATCATTGAAAAATGGTTTTGGGTATTAAAATCAATAACCTAAGAGGTATTGAAAGAAGTCACAGAATTTTTCATGAAAATCCTAGTGAAAAAGATCAGATCTTGTGAAATGTGATAAAAACTGCTGTGTCTCATCGATCTGGCTTTGTAACATCATTGAGAAATAGTTTTGAGTGTTTAGAGCAATTTACAGAGAGGGTGCTTGCTGCAGAACTACAAAGGCGGAGCTGCACCATAAAGGTGGAGCTGCACCAGAGTCAACCCCGCCCATTCACGCAAACTCAGCCTAGCCCACTGACTTCCGTTTTTGTTTTCAACTTTATCGCAAACTGACCTGACCCACATGAATTACGGCTGTTACTAGTTTACAGTCGTTAATGCTATGTTCTGTGCTCCAATTAAACAAGATAAATATAACTTGCTACATGACAAAGTCTGAATATATCCCGAAATAAAAAGGTTTCTCGTAGCGAATATCTGCCCACAGCCGCTCTAATAAAAGTCATGTACAACAGCATGTACCCTCTCCCTGTGGGTTCTGGTAGTCCAGTGGCAAGATCGTCTGACTTAAATTTTGCTTTCCCCTCAGCTGATGCTGGTTCGATTCTCGGTGGGGTCGGCAACAATCTATTCAGCCAGCTGAAACATTTAATTTGTTCATATTTTAGTTGTAATGTTCATTTTCAGCAAAATATTTATGTCTCTACAAGTTCTTTGAATTTGGTCGTTCCTAAACAGCATTTTAGTTGAAACTCTGCTCACAGATGGACTCACACTGGCTAAATAAATGAATGAATAAATAAAAAAACACATTAGTCATTATATGTTAAACGGCATACCAATAAATTGTTGTAAACATAGTACTGGCAAGTGTAGCTAGAAATGAGGAAAAGAGATTATAGAATATTTCCACTGCTGGGAGGCGAACCTGCGCAAAACTACAAGTCAACCTGACACCATCACCACTACACCACCACATCTGATAAAAGTGAGGTGGCATTACATTTAATTATGTTATTTGGTGTGTCTTTGTAGATGGGATGTATGATTTTTCTGGCGGTGTCTCAGTAGAAGTCATTTCAGAAATAATTTGTCAGAAAATTCACAGAATATCCAGATTTGAGAACCAAGACCAGACCCGCTTTGGGGGAGGAGACCAAATTGAAGCTGAGATGGGAAGAAAATGCATGAATGAGGCCAAAAATGGCTTTGGCGTGTTTCTTATGAGGAAATGACAATATAACATGATTAAAAGTTCCAAAAGTTAGATTTTTAATTATATGGAACCTTTACAAAAACTGTTCAATTCACTTCTCAACTCCCTCCTCAATCTTGCATTTTTTAGCTATAACACCCTCTTTGGTTCCAGAATGCTATAAAGTCTGGCAACTGGAAGGAATTGGACTGACTCCGATAGAATGGGCGGGGCTGATTCTGGAATGGGCGGGGCTGACTCTGGTGCAGCTCCACCTTCTGGTGCAGCTCCGCCTTTGTGGTTCTGCAGCGAGCACCACTTGAATTTACATAGCATCTATGGAAATAACTCACTTAATTTTTGATAAAATCATAATAAAATATTTTGGATCTTGTGAAATGTGATTAAAAACTGCTGTGTCTCATTGGTGTAGCTTGGTAACATAACTGAGAAATGGTTTTGAGTAGTAACATCAATTAACCTAGGAGCTATTGAAAGAAATCACTTTATTATTAATAAAAATCCTAATAAAAATGATCAGATCTTGTGAAACGCGATAATAACTGCTATATCTCATTGGTCTGGCTTAGTAACATCATTGAGAAATGGTTTTGGGTATTTTGACTAATTTACCTAGGAGCTATTGAAAAAAAATCCCTTAATTTTGGATAGAAATCCTAATAAAAAATATTGGATTGTATGAAATGTGATTAAAAACTGCCGTGTCTCATTGGTCTAGCTTAGTAACAACATTGAGAAATGGTTTTGGGTATTTTGACTAATTTACCTAGGAGCTATTAAAAAATCTCTTAAATTTGGAATAGAATCCTAATAGAAAAGATCAGATTGTGTGAAATGTGTTAAAACTGTTGTGTCTCGTAAATGTAGTTTAGTTATACAAGTCAGAAGTAATTTTGAGTCATTTAGGAAATTATTCTGGAAGTTTTAAATTTTTTTGTACTCCTTTACAAAGGACTACAAATTTGTTGATAGTACCTAAGCAAACCACCGTTCCCATTAGCGAGTCCTCGGAACTCAGGTTACCGCTGTCTGCCGCAGTTCATGTGAACACTTATCGCTGACCGTGTAAACCAGGGGTGTCAAACTCAAACTCACAAGGGGCCGAAATGAAACTCTGGGACGGAGTCGAGGGCCAAACTTAATATTTTTGAAAAAGTGACGGCAAATTTGCACATTTTCTTTATCAACATGCAATTTTGAACCTTTAAATTTGGAAACAAACTTATTTCTGCATTAACACTGAATGTGGAATAACCAAATGACACACAAGCAAGTCCGTTTTAAATAAAAGGCATCAGTGGTATTCATTACTTGTGGTATAATCAGCATTTTTAAAATCTATTCAGGATTTATGTTTTCTTGTTTATTCATTTTTTTAAATTTTTTATTCTCCTTTTTTTCTCCTGTAATAAGTGTCATCGCTGCTGTGACGTCTAGCTTTCCCCACTGAGGAACAATAAAGGGATTTTCTATTCTATTCATCTATCTGCAGCCTTTCCACTTCCTGTTTACTGTAGGTTAAATCTTTTCTCACGGGCCAACAACAAAATAAAGATATCATTTTATCTTAAATGAAAATGCAACATCTCACCTGTTAACTTTCATGTTTTGGAGCAGAAAAAGAGCATAAAACCAACATATTTAAAGCTCAGTTTGTTCCACTGGTTTACTGTGATGCTCACCTGTTCCAGCCAGATACCTGCATCATGGGGTTGATCTGAGCTGAGGAGGAGACTCCTGTTGTTTTGTTCATCTTCATCATAATAATGACAACAGGTGCTCACATATGTTTGTGCTGATGAACATGTCTGAGCAGCTTGACCACGTTGTTGTGTGTCGGGGAGGAAACACAACAGCAGCCACAGAGCCGTGCTGGTTTGAGCGTGTCGCTGCTCGCTGGAGTTATATCAGCTCTGTCTGGACGTTAGTTGAAAAACTTTCTCTTTCAGTCGTGAACACATTACTGAGCGGCTAGAATCTCCGTTTCTGGGCTTCAACGTCAGAAAACAGCTGAGTGAACTCGGCGCTGAGTGAGAGGAGTGTTTGTCCGAGACAGCGGAGCTGCAGAGACCGGTGTTGTGCCATAAATCGACTCGCTGCCAAAAAATGATTAGCCACTAAAGAAAGGAAGGGGAAAAAAATCAAATCGCTGGAGAATTGTTTATTTACATTTATACAGGGCGCCATTTTACATTGTTTATTTATTTTTTAGTATCAAGGCTGTAACATAAAGAAAGCCAGTTCTTACCACAAACCATCTTTCAATCGCAAATATTGCAAAAAGGATTAATATATCCTCATTGTGAACGTTTAAGACAAATAGCAACACTTAAAACAACTTCCGAACTGGAAAAAACTAAGCTAATCATTTTTTGGCAGTGAGTCGATTTATGGCACAACACCGGCAGCAGGCGCTGAAAAAACACAAAGGAGGGGGCTTCGTCGGCTCCGCGCTGACGCCGCAAAGCATCATGGGAGTTGAAATCTTTGCGGTAAAATCGGTCAGCGGGCCAGTTTTCATATATTTTTGATATTTATCTCGCGGGCCACATAAAAATGCTCCGCGGGCCGCATCTGGCCCGCGGGCCTTGACGCTGACATATGTGGTGTAAACCATTGTCTGTCGAATAGCCATATTATGGATTACAGTTTCCATAATCATTTGGAAACTGTAATCCATGCCTTTATTACCTGCAGGCTGGATTACTGTAATTCTCTATATGCGGGGCTTAGACAAGCTCCAGTAGCATGCCTCCAGGCGGTTCAGAACTCTGCAGCCCGGTTGTTAACATCTACCAGGAGGTCTGAACATATAACACCAGTCCTACGTGCCTTGCATTGGCTCCCTGTTTTTTATCGCATCAGGTTTAAGGTCCTCCTGTTTGTGTTCAAGGCGTTAAACACAGGGGCTCCTAAATATCTTTCCGATGTCATCCACCAGCATGTCCCGGTGCGTTCCCTTAGGTCAGCTGACCAGAGATTACTAACTGTGCCTAGGTACAGCCTGAAGTCTCGTGGTAGTCGAGCTTTTTCAGTACTTGGACCAAGTCTCTGGAATGAGCTGCCAGCCGATGTAAAACAGGCCAAGTCATTAGAAACCTTTAAAGGAAGACTGAAAACACATCTGTTCTCGCTGGCTTTTGGACGTTGAAGTTGGGGGAAGTAGGCCAGATATGGACTGTGAACTGGCACTCAGGTTTTTGTACTGTATTTTAAAATGGATTTCTTATTGTATTTTTATAGGATTTATTACGGTATTTTACAGGGATTTTTTAGTGTATTTTAATGGATTTATTAATGTATTTTAATGGTCATATCTCTGTCCTATTGTGTGGCATTTTATTGATGTACAGCGCTTTGTTTGTCCATTCTGGCCATGTGAAAGCGCTCTATAAATAAAGTTGATTTGATTTGATTTGAATAGCCAACGTCCAACTTCAAGCTA